TCCATATTTAAAAGGGCACCAACCAAAAACTACTGCGTAGAATTAATTGGAATTTTTCACACACAAGCCTTGCTATATGAGCTCTCAAAGCATTATAAAATTATACGGCTTAAACGTGAAGTTGGGTGCAAAAGAATACAAATCCTCTGTCGGGAAAAAACGAAATGACTTTCCGAACAACCCTATATTAACTGAACATTCACCATGACCTTCCTTGTCAGTATACGTGAAAGACATGAGTACCAACAAAACGCCACAAAAAAATCGAAAATCGAATATAGATACATAATCCGCGGAAGTTCACATTTCACGATACTTTTTGAACAGATCTCGTATGTCATAAGTTTAATGTTTAGATTTATTAAAAAAAAAGTTGTTTATTTCTAAAGATTCACCAGGTACTGGATCCAAACCGGGTACCTGGCCCGTCTCTAGTTGTTCCAGCCACCAATTATCCCTTGTGAGTAAAAGGAAAAACATTTCAAGTCTTATTGAACAAAATACTAACCAGAAAGTTAGTAAAATGTTTAAAAATTCATTGTAGGTAACGACTTTGTTGTGTTTTGCTTTTACGCATTATGTTGCACCTGTTATAACGTAAGCCGTTGTTTTCGTTGTTGATAGCTATTCAACTACTCACACTCTCCAAAGCTGTAAGATAAGTTTTCGGTAAACATTTGCTCATTCGCTTCGTGTTTGTGTTCCCTTTAAAAAGCAACTTTTAATCGAGCTTTCTTTCATCCTGTAAACCGCATCATGTAATTTCCTGTTTTCTTAGAGCTGCGATAAGTTTTTCCATTAGAACGATCGGATGTTTGAAGACTCAAAGTCTATGTACTAGCTACAACACTGAAGTGAACACTACATATACTTAGAAACTCAATAAATATTGAAACGCTTGATACACTTTTTAACTGGTATTCTAAAGATAATTTAGTTTCATTCATAAAATGCACTTTATGGTGGAAAGCCGTAGTACGTAGAGGTATTTCTAAATCTCATGGGCCGCGAAATGCGCAAGCGGCGGACCATGTTGCTTTCAAACATTACGTACATTTCAAAATCATTGCCTCTACTTAACTATTCACCCTAGTACACAAACGGCTATTACCTTTAAGATATAGAAATGGAGAAATCTACGAACGGAAGGAGAATGTGTCATTGCGCAACTCAAGGTCACAGCCCATAACATTCTGAATTACCTCTACAGAAGTATATACTCTAAAAACATTCCACTCGTCGTACAAAAGCTACCTGGCAAATTATTCATAAAAAAAAGCATAGCAACTGCGTCACTAATTAAGAAATATTTTTTTTATAACAATACTTAGGTATTGATATAGATACATTTCCTGGAAACGACTTCTGAAAATGCCACTTAATAACACCAAATCCAAAAATAACGAGTTAAAGAAGATTTAAAAAATATGTTGAATTGAAATGAGTTGATGCTTCAACTGTTTCTCCCATTCAATACATTAAATAAACCTTTAAGCGATGCGAACGAAACTAATACCAAACATTGGACTAACAATAAGCTTCTTAACTGTTATTAGGTATACGTGTATATAAATATCTAGCTAAAAAGTTCCATATTTTGCCTCGCATCCGTTTTCAATAGACGGAAAGTCGGAAAGAGTTATTTTGTTATCGATGTTCCCAGTGCAACCTTTTCAACTTCAATTTGCTTTTCACTTACTAATAATTGATTTACGTGCCTATATTCGTAGAGAGACATGCATCATATTTTTACGTCTTTTGACGTGAAACTACGAGTTTCCGGCATAAAATAATAAACGTATAAATAAAACAGTCTTTTAAAACTTCCACAAACTTTTATAACCTTGACGATCGTTTCGTCACTTTGTCGCTTCTTTAGAAGGTACACTAATTCTTAAACTTCTGGATAATAATTCTATTTATACACTATGACTGATCAGTAATCCGGAATATTTGAAAGGTAAATCTGGGGGCAGTAATAGCGCCACAACGCAGGGGTGAAAAAATACCCCAGTTGAGGAGCTGTCAATGACTACAAACAGTTGTCAGTTTATTTTATCGCCCTTCGTTATCGTAAGCGTCAAGTGACGAAACACTCATACCTATTCGTTACCTTCTCNTTACGTACATTTCAAAATCATTGCCTCTACTTAACTATTCACCCTAGTACACAAACGGCTATTACCTTTAAGATATAGAAATGGAGAAATCTACGAACGGAAGGAGAATGTGTCATTGCGCAACTCAAGGTCACAGCCCATAACATTCTGAATTACCTCTACAGAAGTATATACTCTAAAAACATTCCACTCGTCGTACAAAAGCTACCTGGCAAATTATTCATAAAAAAAAGCATAGCAACTGCGTCACTAATTAAGAAATATTTTTTTTATAACAATACTTAGGTATTGATATAGATACATTTCCTGGAAACGACTTCTGAAAATGCCACTTAATAACACCAAATCCAAAAATAACGAGTTAAAGAAGATTTAAAAAATATGTTGAATTGAAATGAGTTGATGCTTCAACTGTTTCTCCCATTCAATACATTAAATAAACCTTTAAGCGATGCGAACGAAACTAATACCAAACATTGGACTAACAATAAGCTTCTTAACTGTTATTAGGTATACGTGTATATAAATATCTAGCTAAAAAGTTCCATATTTTGCCTCGCATCCGTTTTCAATAGACGGAAAGTCGGAAAGAGTTATTTTGTTATCGATGTTCCCAGTGCAACCTTTTCAACTTCAATTTGCTTTTCACTTACTAATAATTGATTTACGTGCCTATATTCGTAGAGAGACATGCATCATATTTTTACGTCTTTTGACGTGAAACTACGAGTTTCCGGCATAAAATAATAAACGTATAAATAAAACAGTCTTTTAAAACTTCCACAAACTTTTATAACCTTGACGATCGTTTCGTCACTTTGTCGCTTCTTTAGAAGGTACACTAATTCTTAAACTTCTGGATAATAATTCTATTTATACACTATGACTGATCAGTAATCCGGAATATTTGAAAGGTAAATCTGGGGGCAGTAATAGCGCCACAACGCAGGGGTGAAAAAATACCCCAGTTGAGGAGCTGTCAATGACTACAAACAGTTGTCAGTTTATTTTATCGCCCTTCGTTATCGTAAGCGTCAAGTGACGAAACACTCATACCTATTCGTTACCTTCTCAACAGCTGGTACACAGACAGGTAACCTACACTCCGTAGTTACTATTCGATTAACAAAGTTAGTGTTATTACCATAAGGTAGAAAAATAAGTTGAGTGTAAAAATATCATTTAAAAAACAATGTAATTACACGCAGAATATGCGGAGATTGTAGTGACAATCTTCTTCTACTTAATAAGCAAACCCATGTCAGAAATAAATAAATTTTCACACACAATCAAAGAGAACATTGGGAAAATGGTCTGGACCACCTATATATTTGAAAATTCTCCCTGCACCTTAATAAAAATTACCAACTTTCATTATTAAAACTTTACCCCAGCTAATTTTTGAAACTTTCCTTCATAAAACGGCAGTCGTTTGTTTTTAAACTTAGGAGTTTTTGCTGCCCTTGTTGGGGTATAATAATTAAAGGTCTAAAATTATACGAGGTCGACGCCTACTAATTGCGAAAACAATGAAAACGATCCGACAGAAAACATTTCGGGCGAAAATGACGATAAGAATTTCCTGTTGATTTCCCATCTTTCGTATTCAATTAAAAAGAGATAACGGCAGAAATACGACGTCCTTAATAAACAGAATGCCAAATGAAATTCGTTTTATTAACTTGTCATGTGTCACACGGTAAGAATATCACCTACCCTCCGTGTAAGGGGTATTTTATTGAATCGTTACCTTTCACGTTTTATTTAATGTCTCCTTGAGTAAACCTGAAATACGAAATAATATTTGGGTTGTCACACGTTGAAACACCCTCATAATATTTACTACCTTCCCGAGACACATTTCCAGCATTTAATTCCCTTTAATTTTTTAGTGGTTGGATAGAAACCGTTATTCTTATCTTGTGATAAACAGAGGAATTTTATTATTTATCATATTTAATGGTTTCTTCTATTTTGTTTGAAGTTCTTAAATATATCCTTGATTTTATTGTCCATTTAGTCTATCTCACTTGCATGTATTTTTGTGAAACGATACTTTATATCCTATAAGTTAAATTAAAATTTAGAAAATACTACAAATGGCGCAGTAAACGCCATCTGTAGCACGATGCTACATTTTAGGATTACGTATGCTCCAACAAGGTCCACTTGTGTGGATATCTACTTTCTGAAACGAATCCCGGCGTAACCAACCTCAACATGATAGGCACGTTAGCTTAATCGAATAGAAATGCGACGAGCTGATGAGATCCAAAAAGATCGAAATCGCGATCCGCGTCTGGCAATTTCGACAGAATACAGACCACTTCGAATTATTTTTATTAAATTAAAATTGTTTCTTATAGTTTTTTAGCTGCTATTGCATACACACACACACACACACATACAAGTACTTAGGTTTTAGGTATTTAATTTGTTTTTATTAAATTATTGAACAGATATGTATTCCCTTCTTTCTCATTGACGAACATTTCAATATAATAAGTTTATTTTGATGATCGTGTTTGATTCCATGGAAGTTGGAAGGCTGTACATATTCAGAATCTAAAAGGGAAATAATTGTCAAAATAACCACAAAAATGTCTTCCAAAACACTTAGGGAATGACTTTCATAAACGGACATGCCGCGAAGGCGTCCAGTTTAAAGCTGACAGTGATATCGGTACATAAAATGCCAGAGATATAATTTAGGAAGCACTTGCTGTACAATTTTCGGTGACCCAGTATAACGGAAATAAAATTTTTATAGCACGTTTGAATTAAGAAAAGGTAGCTACTAAGTATTTTGCAATTCAAAACGGAAAAAGAGGTTTATCCCTAAATATCTCAATATATCAAATTCTTTTCGCTTTGTTTCAGATTCTCTTTGAATAAAGCTGACTCGACATCATCGACGGAATCGAGAACTGGGCCAGGGTCTCGTAGTAGCTCAGGAGATGGAGGTGTCACGCCCGGCTTCCCCAAAGTATTACCAGCCCCCGGAGCTAGTCCTCTGGTTCAGAATCGTCGTCGCAGCACTCTAGAAGCACTCACACCTACGCCACCGATCCGAAGACCGGGATCATTTAGACAGCCACGTTCACCGAGAGCCACACCGGAGAAACCTCCATCCTTTTGCTGCCGGAGGCTATCGTGGCCAGATATAGACCACCAAGTACAATCCGGGTAAGTTACTTATCATATGTATAACAGAAGATACCAGACAATTGCACCATTGACTTCCGCTTAAACTATGCTAAATTAACTCTAAACAATCGAAATTTATTATTATATGCACTATAAGTGGTCCCGGTAGGTAAATTATCGCTTAATGATATGAAGTAACTCATCATCATAAGGTCGTCAGCTCCAAGACTGGGTGGACACACACCTCCACTCCTTCCTATCCTGAGCTAATCTTCGCATTTCCTTAAAATTAGAACATCCCACATTCTTAACTATTTACGAACAGTGATCTAATCTAAGTCTACCTCTACTCCTCTTAACTCCTGTTTCTGCTTGTAATATATCTCTGACCAGAATTTCATGCCTGAGAAGGTGTCCTAATAACCTATTTCGACTATTCTTTATTGACTTCCGTACAGTCTTCTGTTCTCCTATTCTTTCTAATACTTCTTTATTTTTAACTGTCTCTATCCATGGTATCCTGATCATTCGCTGGTAACACCACATTTCGAACGCTTCTAACCTTTTTTCCGCCGCGCCCACTGTCCATGTTTCGCACCCGTACAGCGCCACGCTCCAAGCATACACCTTTAACAATCTTTTTCAAATTTCTAAATTAATCGTTCGCGAGCATAGAGGTGACTTTCTTTTATTGAAGGTAACTCGACCTTACGCTATCCTATGCTTTATATCCCTACTACTCCTTCCGTCCTGACTTATCTGACTTCCTAGATACCTAAAATCAGCCACTTTTTCTAATCTTTCGTCTCCTATCTTTACATACTTTTTTCCTTGCATACCAGTATTTCTATTTTCATACAATACTGTTTTGTCAATACCGCTTCCATTTCATTTAAAGCTAACTCCTCCTTGCAAGTAACTAGCAGATATTAAATTAAATTATCTAGCAGCATCCTCCATCGTATTGATAGCATTTATCATTTAGTTTTGTCTTTTTTACAGGGTGCAAGAGACGGACGGATCTTACTTTGAAAGTTTCACAGCTTTAGCATGGCGCCAAGAAAATCAGCGACAGGCAGCATTGAGGATAGCCGAAAGCGCTACCTCAGAAGCACCACCACAAGATATCGACCTCGGGATTGCACCCATAGATTATAGCATTTCCAACAGTGAACGGGATAAATTATACGTCGACATGCTGTACACCATTGCTAATGCCGTAAGTTACCATTAATTGACTGTTCTTACAAATGCTTAAGTTGTACTTCTATGAACAAGTAATTAATATTGCTCAATCTTAAATTCCCTCCGATGCTAATTTTTTTGTTTGGTTTTGAAATTTAGAAAGTTTCTAGGTGTTTTAGCATTTTTTAGATTAGATTAAACTCCTTGTCTAAATGATCAGTTGGTTTTTCTTCTTAATACCAGGCGTGTTTTTTATTTCGAGTCCATTCTTTTTCGAAAGAACCATTGAAAAGATTGATTATTTTCAATGTATTTCTCGAAATCCTGCCATTCTATGGGCAGATTCTCANTCCGACCTACTGAAGGTGAATTTTTCTACGATCAGCTGGCAATCGTAATTAATTTGCGATTGTGCAGGGCCGGCATCAAAACTGTTATAATTGTATAATTTTTTATTTTGTTTCAAAAGTCAAAATTGTTATAACATTTTATGTTCCAAATGTCCGTAGGGATCTGTGGTATAAATATTAATTGTTATAACTGGGACATCCTATATATATACCGGGAACTACCACCCCATTATATAATTATATAGGTATTGTTCATTTTTAGACATTGTCCATATTTTTTCTAATCGAAGGTATGAAATGCGTTTGACAATAACCCTAAAAATTCAACGCTTGGTTTCGTAATATTCATTTTTATGCGTTCATTGTAGGTAACCAAATCATTCGAAAATAAAAATCAGATTACGTTGATTTGAGTTTGAGTTCATGTCAGTAAACGTTGAATAGGTGATTTCGCACATCACACAAAATTGATTTTTTATAACGTCGTTTTAATGCGTCGATTTTTTGATGGATTAATCAGCGCCAATTTTGTCCAATTCCCTGCATTTAACAGGTTAAATTATGTGTCCCATGGACGCTGAATGGTTTCCTGTGAACTCTGACACCATTATGGCAATTATAAACACTGGACCTTCACGGCGAATATAATTACGAAAGCAAATGTAACACGGTATGTAAATTATTATTATTGCGGTTTGGGCAGAGGTTTAATTTGCCAATTAATGAGTCTTCCGATTGGCAAACGATCCGCATGTAATCGCTTGATGGTGTTTACTTCCTAGGAATTAATGTTCGTTTGCATTTGAGTTTCAGTTGCCGTTTGTCGCCGTTCAATAGTTTGAAAACGAAACAACAAAGTGAGAAATTGAAAAATTTAGAACATGGAAAAGAGTAGAATAACGAAATAATTTCAATAAAACTTTTTCAAAAAAGATATTTTTGTTTATTGTTAATGAATAACATAGGATTTGTAGATTTACAGAAAGCTTTTGACGATGTTAAATGGAACAAAATGTTAAATATACTTAAAAATATANTAAATATACTTAAAAATGTAGGGATGAGTTACAGAGATAAAAGAATGATACTTAGTTTGTATAAAGAGCTACAGGCAGTTATTAAGCTGGGGCTGCAATGTACAGAAGTAAATATTGGGAAGGGGATCAGACAGAGATGCACACTGTCACCGCTACTTTTTACATTGAAGACACGATCAAAATTAATAAGACAGTACAACTGTAGGGATAGATATACAGGGGCTAAAGATTAGTATGGTTAGATGTGCAGATGATATAGCAGAATTAGCATCTACCAAGCGGTATTGACAAAACAGTACTGTATGGAAATAAATAAATGCAAAACAAAAATACTGGTATGCAAGGGAAGAAAAAGTAGGTAAAAAGCAAATACAAAGATAGGAGACGAAAAATTAGAAGAATTGTCTGATTTTTGGTATCTAAGAAGTTAGATAGGTCAGAACGGATGGAGTAGTAGGGATATAAAGCAGAGGATAGTAAAAGATCGAGTCGCCTTCAATAAAACTAACTAACTTCTATGCTCGCGAACGATTAATTTAGAACGGTGTATGTTTGGAACGCAACGCTGTACAATTGCGAAACATGTACGGTGGGCTCTGCCGAAAAGAAAAGGTTAGAAGTGTTCGAAATGTGGCGTTACAGGCGAATGATGAAGATACCGTGGATAGAGAAGGTTAGAAATGAAGAGGTACTTGAAAGAATAGGAGAACAGAGGACTCTACGGAAGTGAATAAGAAATAGGCGACATAGGTTGGTAGGACACCTTCTTAGGCATGAAGGTCTAGCCAGAGACATATTAGAGGCAGAAACAGGAGTTAGGAGGGGTAGAGGTAGACCTAGATTAGATTACTGTTCGCAAATAGTTAAGGATGTGGGCTGTTCTAGTTTTAGGGAAATACGAACTTTAGCTCAGGATAGGAAAGAGTGGACGTACGTGTCCAACCAGTCTTAGGACTGACGAGCTTATGATGATGAATGAATCTGTACGAAATTGGGAGGTTAGGGACATTTAGCCATAATTGCTGTGACCATTCTCGCTTACATTTCGGGTTCAATATCTCAAAAGGAAAAAAGGAACCCTTATAAAATTATTTCCTTGACACAGTCGTAGTTGAACAGACATTTTTTACTTTTTAAAGACAGGGCATTCTTAAAATATTTATTTTTCTTTTTCGCTGCTATAAATAATTACAGCTTTAAAAACATACAAATTATGTGTTACCAACCGATTAATACGAAAAATAACCAACTATCTGGGGAAATTATTCTTGTATTGGTATTATTTTTTCATTATAATAGCGTCATAGACGACTTGAAGTGGTTTTAGTTTGTATCAAGTTTATAATGTTTAACATAAAAGTAAAGATACTCTTTGTAGATCTGTATCTGTCGATATTGTACATTGCACGTCTGATTTTACTGAAAATCTTTCCCAGTCATTTTAAGCACTAATATGCTATCGATCGGTTTGCCTCGTGGTAATAAAAATACGGATAATGTTTCACGACATGCAGCAGCCGAACATTGGAAACCCCGAACTGAATGACATTTCCTATCGGTAGAATGAAATTGAGTCAAAATCCATTTTCGCTTCAAAATCGCAAAGTGTTTTACAACCTGTCACATTTATCCTGAGGGAACGACAGCGGTAATCTGTTGCTCTAACGCGAAGAAGTTACGCCGATTCCCCACTTCAAGCGTGTCACCAGCTTTTGATAAATATGATTCTGTCGATAAACTTTGTACGAACTTATATGTCATATTTTATCGTTTAGCTTTTGCTTAATCTTTCCTCTGCGCTCTTATGATTGGAATATGGGAAAAAGATATTTTTTATACTTAGCTTTAAGTCTAAATAATGGCCTATAATATGTCGGAGCTTAAGTTCTTAGTCTTCTTCGAGATTCTGCTGTAAAATCCTCACAATTTTAAGGAAACGGAAGTGATGCTTAAGCCAAAGCATATACAGGGTGTCCCATTTATAATAATTAAAAAGCAACCATGGCTTCCTGACACAAAATACAACAAAAAAGTGTTATACAATTTTTCAATCCAGTGACAATTGAACACGCAAATTGCCTTTGTAAATTTGAACGTACAATTTGTTTCATTACGGGCCTGGATCTAGGCGACTAACGTCGCTCAGCTGATCTAGTGTGGATGTAACAAGTACCTACCGGGAAGAAGCCGAATGCACTTCCACCTTGTAAAAAAAAGTTAAAAGTGAAAAAGAAAAGCGTACCTTTTTTAAAAAAGGTTTAAATTGTCCGCCATTCGCTTCAATGCAACACTGACAGCGACGT